TATTTTCTATTCCATTCCATTCCATATTTTCTATTCCATTCCATTCCATTCCATATTTTCTATTCCATTCCATTCCATTCCATATTTTCTATTCTATTCCATTCCATATTTTCTATTCCATTCCATATTTTCTATTCCATTCCATTCCATATTTTCTATTCCATTCCATTCCATTCCATATTTTTTATTCCATTCCATTCCATTCCATATTTTCTATTCTATTCCATTCCATATTTTCTATTCCATTCCATTCCATATTTTCTATTCTATTCCATTCCATATTCTATTTTCTATTCCATTCCATTCCATTTGATTCTATTCCATATTTTCTATTCTTCCATTCCATTCCATTCTATATTTTCTATTCTATTCCATTCCATTCTATATTTTCTATTCTATTCTATTCCATTCCATATTTTCTATTCCATTCCATTCCATTCTATTCCAGTCTATTCCACTCCATTCCATGTTTTCTATTTTATTCCATTCCATATTTTCTATTCCATTTCATTCCATATTTTCTGTTCTATTCTATTCCATATTTTCTATTTTATTCCATTCCATATTTTCTATTCTATTCCATTCCATTCTATATTTTCTATTCTATTCCATTCCATTCCATTCCATATTTTCTATTCTATTCCATTCCATTCCATATTTTCTATTCCATTCTATTCTATTCCATTCCATATTTTCTATTCTATTCCATTCCATTCTATTCCATTCCATATTTTCTATTCTATTCCATTCAATTCCATTCCATATTTTCTATTCCATTCTATTCTATTCCATTCCATTCCGTATTCTATTTTCTATTCTATTCTATTCCATTCCATTCCAATCCATTCCATATTTTCTATTCTATTCCATTCCATCCATTTCATTCCATATTTTCTATTCTATTCTATTCTCTTATATTCTATTCTATTCTATTCCATTCCATTCCATTCCATATTTTCTATTCTATTCCATTCCACCTTCCTTGCCACCCTTCTTAAGTGAATCACTGTGCTTGTTAAATTAGTAACGTGCTTATTAAGCGACTCCGGCTTCCCCATCAACGTGGCTTGGTCGCAAAAGGTGATCACATGACACTCCCCCCGGGGACACGGCCACCGTCATGCATACGAGTCTGTTGCCAAGCGGCTAAACTTCGATCCCCTGATCACAGGGAGGCTGCAGCAGCCACCGTTCAAAAACGCTCCTCCCATTTTTTCCAGCACCATTATTGTAACTTTGAGCAGTTCCTACACATACCGTTATCTACAGCAGTGGCCAAAATTGTGGAAACCTTTTGGGGAAAAGTGTACATTTGAGGTTTGATGGCTAATAACACCACTTTTTGGGGGAGTAGTACCATAAAAGTATATATCAATGGAAAGGTAATTTAATCAAGAATGTAATGCAACCAAGTTTGTTCAATTATCTGTATTGTATTCTATGAAAAGCTATAGCCAAATAACCAGAAAAAGGAAGCACAACTTGCTTAGGTTGATCTCAGGTAGCTTTCCTTCACCTGATTGTAGCCAGTGAGCAGGAGTGTTTAGAGAGCCAATCGGGTGTCCTCTTGTTTTGGCCGTGAGCCAATCAGATCACGGTAAGATCCAGTGATTGATGTCCTGTATTGAAGCTGAGAGGAGGACATTTGTCAGTGTGTTATGTGATGGCTATCAAGTTGGTTGGGTTTTTTGTGTTCTTTCATTGAGTGAGCTTGTAAAACGTAATAAAATTAAAGTCATGGTGCAAAGAGTTGACCGGTCGCCCAGCAAGCGATGTAAAATAGCATTATTAAGTGAACAAGGCTACAGTTATAAAGAAATGAGAAGAAAAATGGGTGGAAACTTAACCAAAGGTGGCATTTCTACTGTACACTTTTCCCAAAAGGTTTCCACAATTTGGGCCACTACTGTACCTATGGCATCTGTCCTCCGTGCCTTTTTCCTGGCCTTGTTACCTCTGCAGGTCCATCGTCACCCTTGTCCTCTTCTCTTCCGCTTTCCTGCAGGTACAACCACCATCCAGGAAGGAAGCATCACCCGAGGGACCCCCACCAGCAAACTTTCCATGGAAGCGATGCCTGCTTTGCGCGGCTCCATCACTCAGGTACCCCCACCTTGCCTCGTGCGCTTCTCCGATCCTTCCGTGGGCTCGGTGGTTTTCCTGGCTTGACAGGTCAACATACGACCACAATTGAGCCCAAAAGATATGTCGCGAAGTGAGAAATTTTCGTTCAGGGAGGTCTGCCCGATTTCTCGCCACAGCGCTTAACTGCAGTTATTAAGTTAGGCCATTTTTCTCCTCTTTGGCCAGCTTCAATATACAGGTAGTCCTCGACTTACGACCACAACTGAGCCCAAAATTTCTGTTCTTAAGGGAGTTTTGTCCCTATTTTGTTAAGGGAGTTTGTTAAGGGAGTTTTGTCCCTATTTTACCATCTTTCTTGCCACAGCTGTTAAGTGAATCCACTGCAGTTGATAAGTTGGTAACCCGGTTGTTAAGTGAATCCGGCTTCCCCTCCATGCTGGTCAGAAGGTCGCAAAAAAGGGGACGCCGGGACAGGGCAACTGTCATAACTCGGAGTCCGTTGCCAAGGGCCTGGATTTTGATCGCGTAATCATGTGGGGGTGGATGCTGCGATGGCCATAAGTGTGGAAAAGGGTTCTAAGTCTCCTTTTTCAGTGCCGTTGTAACTTCCAACAGTCACTAAGTGAACTGTCGTAAGTCGAGGGCTACCTGCACTCTCTGGAGCAACCTAGGTGATTATCAGCAGAAAAAGCTGTTTTTGTCAGTGTCAATTCATTCCCTCTTTGAGCCTGGATATCTAGGCAAAATAAGAATAGAATACAATAGAATACAATAGAATTTAGAATAGAATACAATAGAATAGAATGAAATTACAATATAATAGAATAGAATGGAACGGAACGGAACGGAACAGAATATAGAATAGAATAGAATAGAATTTAGAATAGAATACAATAGAATTTAGAATAGAATACAATAGAATAGAATGAAATTACAATTGAATAGAATAAGAATAGAACAGAATTTAAAATAGAATAGAATAGAATTTAGAATAGAATAGAAAGAATAGAATGAAATTAGAATAGAATAGAATGAAATTAGAATAGAATAGAATGAAATTAGAATAGAATAGAATAGAATTAGAATAGAGTAGAAATAAGGAATAGAATAGAATGAAATTAGAATAGAATAGAAATAAGGAATAGAATAGAATAGAATAGAATAGAATTTAGAATAGAATACAATAGAATAGAATTTAGAATAGAATACAATAGAATAGAATAGAATAAGAATAGAACAGAATTTAAAATAGAATACAATAGAATAGAATTTAGAATAGAATAGAATGAAATTAGAATATAATAGAATTTAGAATAGAACAGAAAGAATAGAATGAAATTAGAATAGAATAGAATGAGAATAAAATAGAGTGAAATTAGAATAGAGTAGAAATAAGGAATAGAATAGAATGAGAAACTTCCTGACAGTTAGAACAATTAACCAGTGGAACAACCTGCCTCCAGAAGTGGTGAATGCTCCAACACTGGAAGTTTTTAAGAAGAGACTGGACAGCCATTTGTCCGAAATGATATATAGGGTTTCCTGCCTGAGCAGGGGGTTAGACTAGATGACCTCCAAGGTCCCTTCCAACTTTATTATTATTATTATTATTATTATTATTATTATTATTATTATTATTATTATTATTATTATTATTATTATTATTATTATTATTATTATTATTATTATAGAATAGAATAGAATAGAATAGAATAGAATAGAATGAAATTAGAATAGAATAGAAATAAGGAATAGGATAGAATAGAATGGTATGGAATGGAATGGAATAGAATAGAATAGAATAGAATTAAGAATAGGAAACAATAATAGAATAGAATAGAATAAGAAATAGAATAGAATAGAATAGAATAGAATAGAATAGAATAGAATAGAATAGAATAGAGTAGAGTAGAATGAAATTAGAATAGAATAGAGTAGAATAACAATAGAATAACAATACCAAAAAACTGGAGAATATAACAAACTACCAAAAACCTGAAAGTAGAAACAGAACGACTGTGGCCGAAGAAGATCACATGGATAGCCATAGGCGGCAGCAATGGGTGCAATCCCGAAACATCTGCAGCACCCCTTAAAAACCGTCGGCATTGACAAATTCCCCATCGGTCCATTACGAAAGGCAGCAGTCCAAGTTGCCCCCTCGCCCTCCAATTAATCTTTTTGAAGGGTGGATTAAAACGTCTTTCCCCTGCAGGGAACCCCGGCCTTGTCCCAGCCTGGAATTGCAGCGGACGTTCTGCTCAAAGGCACCATCACCCGTCTGGCTACGGAGGACAGCAGTCCAGAGAAGAGCCGAGAAGAGATGGCCACCTCCAAAGGCCACGTCATTTACGAAGGGAAGAGCGGCCACATCATTACCTACGATGGTGAGTGCCGAGTCGGGAGGCTCCAAATCCCCCACGTGCTGCTTGAGGGAGATGCACCACGGAAGCTGGGCCAGGGAAGTTACGCTCCGTTAGGGTCCTTGGTGCTCTCTGAGCTGGGTGGTTTTCCTGCAGATGTTTCATGACCCAGCTAGGGAACATCATCAGTGCTAGAAGGGAGGAGGAGAAGGAGGATTGTGTGGGTCCTTGGTGCTCTCTGAGCTGGATGGTTTTTTTTGTAGACGTTTCATGACCCAACTAGGTAACTTCATCAGTGCTAGAAGGGAGGAGAAGGAGGACTGTGGGGATACTTGGTGCTGTCTGAGCTGGGTGGTTTTCCTGCAGACGTTTCGTGACCCAGCTAGGTAACATCACCAGTGCTAGAAGGGAGGAGGAGGAGAAGGAGAACTGTGGGGGTCCTTGGTGCTCTCTGAGCTGGATGGTTTTTTTGTAGACATTTCATGACCCAACTAGGTAACTTCATCAGTGCTAGAAGGGAGGAGAAGGAGGACTGTGGAGGTCCTTGTGCTCTCTGAGCTGGGTGGTTTTCCTCCAGATGTTTCATGACCCAACTAGGTAACTTCATCAGTGCTAGAAAGGAGAAGGAGGAGGACTGTGGGGGTCCTTGGTGCTCTCTGAGCTGGGTGGTTTTCCTGCAGACATTTCATGACCCAGCAAGGGAACATCACCAGTGCTAGGAGGAGAAGGAGGACTGTGGGGGTCCTGGTGTTTTTTGAGCTGGGTGGTTTTTCTGCAGAGGTTTCATGACCCAACTAGATAACATCAGTGTTAGAAGGGAGGAGGAGGAGGAGGAGGAAATAGAGGAGAAGGAGGAAGAAGAGGAAAAGAAGAGATAAAGAAGGAGGAGGAGGAAGAGATAGAGGAGGAGGAGGAGGAAGAGGAAGACTGTGGGGGTCCCTTGTGCTCTCTGAGCTTGGAGGTTTTCCTGAAGACATTTCAGGACCCAACTAGCTAACATCAGTGCTAGAAGGGAGGAGAAGGAGGACTGTGGGGATCCTTGGTGCTCTCTGAGCTTGGAGGTTTTCTTGCAGACGTTTCATGATGTTCCCTACTTGGGTCGTGAAACATCTGCAAGAAAACAACTGAGCTCAGAGGACACCAAAGACCCCATAGTTCCTCCTCTTCCTCCTCTTCTCCCCTCTGCAAAGCACTAATGATGTTACCTAGTTGGGTTGTGAAACATCTGGAAGAAACTCCAGAGAGCACCAGGGCCCCTCAGTTCAACCTTGAGCTGCAAATATCGCCTTCCGTGGAAAAACTATTTCCATTTTCACTAAGAGAACCCAAGGGAAATTGTTTTCCATTGTGCTCTCTCTCTCTCTCTCTCTCTCTCTCTCTCTCTCTCTCTCTCTCTCTCTCTCTCTCTCTCTCTCTCTCTCTCTCTCTCTCTCTCTCTCTTTCTTTCTCTCTCTCTTTCTCTCTCTCTCTCTCTCCCTCCCTCCCCTCTCTCTCTCTCTCTCTCTCTCTCTTTCTCTCTCTCTCTCTCTCTCTCTCTCTCCCTCCCTCCCTCCCTCCCCCCTCTCTCTCTTTCTCTCTCTCTCTCTCCTTCCCAACAGCCATCAAGAACGTCCGGGAAGGAACGCGGAGCCCAAGGACCGCTCACGACATGGGCCTCAAACGGACCTATGAAGCCATGGAAGGAAACATCAAGCAGGCAATGTCAATGAGAGAATCTCCCGTCTCGACGCCTTTAGAAGGTAAGCTTGGCTAGCAAATTCCTCTTTGTTTGCAAGAATTGGGTCTGTCCAGTTGAATGAAGAGAAGGACTAGGAGTAACATGATAGTAGCCTTCCAGTATCTCAGGGGCTGCCACAAAGAAGAGGGAGTCCAGCTATTCTCCAAAGTGCCTGAGGGCAGGACAAGAAGCAACAGATGGAAACTCATCAAGGAGAGAAGCAACCTAGAACTAAGGAGGAATTTCCTGACAGTGAGGACAATTAACCAATGGAACTGCTTGCCACCAGAAGTTGCGGGTGGGTGCTCCTTCAGGTTTTCAAGAAGAGGTAGCCTCTGAAATGGTGTAAGGTGTCCTGCGTGAAAATCAGAATCAGCTGGAAGGGAGACTCTATATCGTTTCAGACTGTCCAGTCTCTTCTTAAAAACCTCCAGCAATGAAGCATTCACAACTTCTGGTGGCAAGCTGTTCCAGGGGTTAATTGTTCTCATTGTGGGGAAATTTCTCCTTAATTCCAAGTTGATGAGTTTTTCCATCTGTTGCCCTCCCTCCCTGGAATGGAATGGAAAATGGAATGGAATGGAAAAATAACTTTATTGTCACTTTGAATGTACACTAATTAGCGTACATTAAAATGAAATTTCATTCCATTGAGCTCTCAAAGGGTCACCACCTCCAATACACACTACATAAATATGGCAACCATCTATCTATATAAATAAAAATGTAAATGTTCGTTTGTTCAAAATCTTAAATCTCCGAAAGTTCTTTACCGATTGATTTGAAATTTTGACACAACGTTGCATTCGAATACGCGCGTGTTTTTATATACAGTACCTATATTATATAGATGTCACACTTGTGACAGGTAAAAACATGCTTTCTTAAAAAAACAGCGCCATCTGTTGGATGTAAAAGCAACGCACGCTTTTGCCAGACTGAGCCACAGCAACGCGTGGCCGGGTACAGCTAGTAATAAATAAAATAAATCCGTTGTGAAAAAAGCACCGTTGGGATATATTCTGTTATATTTTGATGTGTCTTAGCCGGCCAGTCTTGACGGCCACACCGATGTGCAGACGCTGTGTCGTTCCTGGACAAAATGAAGCTTCAAAGAATGTTTCTAGGACAGGGCTTTTCAACCAGTGGTAGGGGTACCACCTGTGGTCCATTGGCACCTGGCAGGTGGTACGCGACCATCCTAGAAAAGTGGTAGCAGGGGAGGGGAATGAGCTGAACCGGTGGCAGCACCGCACAAGCCTGAGCGAGAGACGGCTGGAGCTGCAGGGCTGTCAGGGCTCGGCGGAAGCGCCAGGATCAGTGCCGCTTTTCAGCTGATCGGCGCTTCTTCAGGACTGTCAGGGCTCAGTGGAAGCGCCAGGATCAGCGCCAGGATCCAGCTGGAGCTCAGTGCTGATCCTGGTCCTTCTGCTGAGCCCAGAAGAAGTGCCGATCAGCTGGAATGTTGCAGCATCTCCAGGGTCTTGTGATTTACATTCAGATGCTTGGCAACTGATTCATATTTATGACGGTCACAGTGTCCCAGGGTCATGTGAAGTGACCAAAACCTGCTGCAACCACCCAGCAGACGGGGGGGGGGGAAATAAAAACCAAACACCCCCCCACCCCACCCCCACTGCCAATCCTCAACAGAAATGCTCACAACAATGAAAACCTCGGACAGGAGGAAGAGCGCCACCAGATGGGCAAGCAGGTGTCTTACTGTGCTAGGCGATTGGTGGTACTCGGATATTGCCAAATCCTAAAAGTGGTACAATGGGTGAAAAGGTTGAAAAGCCCTGTTATAGGATATAAATGCATCACTATTGGCTTCCTCAAAAATGTGTTGAAATTCGCCAAATATCGTCGGAGATACAATTGAAACAGGGAGACGCTGTTTTCAGTAATGGCACTTCTGTCTTTTAGGCTTAATCTGCCGGGCTGTGCCTCAAGGCAGCCCCCACTCCGACATGAAGGAGAGGACTGTGTTGGCGGGCTCAATCATGCAAGGTAAGAAAAAGACCAATGCTCCACTCCCTCCTCTCCCCCCCCTTTCCCCCCTCCCTCCATCTCTTCTCTCCTAACTGCTTGCCTTCAGAGGTTGTGGGTGCTCCATCACTGGAGGTTTTTAAGAAGAGACTGGACAGCCATTTGCCTGAAATGGTATAGGGTTCCCTGCCTGGGCAGGGGGTTGGACTAGATGGCCTCCAAGATCTCTGGCAGCTATGTTATGATGATGATGATGATGATGATGATGATGATGATGATGATGATGATGATAGAGTTGGAAGGGACCTTGGAGGTCATCTAGTCCATCCCCCCCCCACTCAGGCAGGAAACCCTATACCATTTCAGGCAAATGGCTGTCCAGTCTCTTCTTAAAGACTTCCAGTGTTGGAGCATTCACTGCTCATGGAGGCAAGGGGTTCCACTGGTTAATTGTTCTCTCTGTAAGGGAAATTCCTCCTTAGTTCCAGGTTGCTTCTCTCCTTGATTAGTTTCCATCCGTTGCTTCTTGTCCTGTGTTCAGGTGCTTTGCAGAATAGGTTGACCCCCTCTTGTCTGTGGCAGCCCCTCAAATATTGGATCACTGCTATCATGTCCTCCCTCGTCCTTCTATTCTATTCTATTCTATTCTATTCTATTCTATTCTATTCTATTCTATTCTATATTCTATATTCTATATTCTATATTCTATTCTATTCTATTTTCTATTCCATTCTATATTCTACATTCTATTCTATATTCTATTTTCTATTCCATTCCATTCTATTCCATTTTTTCATTATTCTATTATTTCCTATTCCTATTCTATTCTATTCTATTCCTATTCTATTCTATTCTATTCTATTCTATTCTATTCTATTCTATTCTATTCTATTCCATTCCATTCCATTCTATTCTATTCTATTCCTATTCTATTCTATTCTATTCCATTCTATATTCTACATTCTATTTTCTATTCTATTTTGTATTCTATTCTATTCCAATCCCAATCACAATCCTGCGATCTTCTCTCTCCCACCAAAGGCACCCCGCGATCGACTGCCGAGAGCTACGACATCGGGCTGAAATACCCGAAGATCAAGAGGGAGTCTCCCCCCATGAGGACCTTTGAGGGAGCCATCACCAAGGGCAAGCCCTACGACGCAGTCACCACCATCAAGGAGATGGGGCGCTCCGTCCACGAAATCCCCCGGCAGGACCTGTTGAATCAAGAAAGCCAGAAGGCCCCCGACCTCGTCCCTCACGTCCGCCCCATCATCGAAGGATCCATCTCCCAGGTGAGCAAAAACCTGGAGGCCGCCATTGGGAGAAAAGCTCAAATCCTACAGTCCTTTTTTTTTTTTAAAGAGTTGGAAGCAATTGTTGAGGTCACAAAGTCTCACCCCTATTCAGGGTGAGCTTCCAGATCGCCATCAGATGGTGGTCTGTTCTTCTAATGTTGTTGTTGTTGTTAGTTGCGAAGTCGTGTCTGACCCATCGCGACCCCATGGACCACGTTCCTCCAGGCCTTCCTGTCCTCTGCCATCTTCTGGAGTCCATTGAAGCTCACGCCTCCTGCTTCAGTGACTCCATCCAGCCACCTCATTCTTCTCTGTCGTCCCCTTCTTCTCTTGCCCTCCATCTTTCCCAGCATCAGGCCTCCGGTGAGTCCTTCCTTCTCATCAGGTGGCCAAAGTACTTGAGTTTCAACTTCAGGATCTGGCCTTTTAAAGAGCAGTCGGGGTTGATCTCCTCTAGGACCGACCGGTTGGATCGCCTTGCATTCCAGGGGACTCGCAGGAGTCTTCTCCAGCACCAGAGTTCAAAGGCCTCCATTCTTTGGTGCTCA